CTTAGCAGCATATTTTGCGATTTATTTTTATTTATATAAATTTCTTCCAGAAGAGAAAAAATCGATCCAAATTCAAAAGTTAATCCACGACAGTGCAATAAGAAGTGAAAACGTACTCGGAATAAAAATCACTACATTTGTCACAGCATAAGAATTGGAATTAGACAAATTCGTCCGTTAAATTGAAGCAATTCCGGCCTGGGAACGGAATTCGATTTGGGGTAAATCTCCCAGGTTCGGAAAATGGGTAAAATTTTCCTTTACCGTTGCCTTGAATCACGCGTGATGGGGCGGATGTATTTATTTTTAATTCGATTTTAAATTGGGTACTAATGGATGTTGACTTGGGATTTTGTTTGAAGACAAAGAAATCAATCATTGGGACTTTGCTTCCAATAATAGTAGCGTTGTTTTAGAACAATGGTCTCTTAATTTGTTATCTTACGGAATTTGTTGGCAGTTCGGAATTATTTTAAGGAAATTATTATTTTAGTAGTGGTAATTTTTTTTATAAAATCTAAAACCATAATTAAAAATTTGTTGTTGTACTTTTATATATCTTGAATGTGCACTTTGTGCCTACATGATTAATATAAATGCATCATTTTTTTAATATAATGTATGTATTTCTTTATAAGGTACTGAGTATTGTAATGAAACGATGCTCTTTAGGACACGACTATTTAATATGAGTGTTGGTACAATACTGACTTATATTAAAACATTGATGCATTTATATTAATCATGTAGGTGCCTTCATGATGTTGCTACATTCATGTATGACGAATTGTTAGCGATTATTTTTGAATCAAAATCATATGGTTGTAGACATGTGTGATTTTAACAAGAGGAGGTTATACTCTTTATTAGATTTTTAAATTTGTAACTTTATTTAGTAAAAAAATCTTCTTGTCTTTATTGCCGGTCACTTATTGTTTGGCCGTGTTCATCAGTTTTATATGATTGACAGAATTCACTTCACGCGTATTAATTTACACGATTGCAAGTATACAGAGTACGTCAGACAATTAGCATTAATTTAACTGAAAAAAAAAACAGAGGCGCTACAACCTTTTTAGGTCTGGGCCTCAGATTTTTGAATCTGTTTCATGATCATCTTTAAATCTAATAAGCAAGTGATCAGCCTCCAGTGCCTGACACACGCTGTCGACTTTTTGGGTCGTTCGAGCAAATGTTAAATGCGCACATAGAAAGAAAGTCCATTGGTGCACAGCTGGTGATCGAACCTACTACCTCAGGGATGAGAGTCGCACGATGAAGCCACTAGGCTAACACTGCTCTGCTCATTTAACTGAAATCGACTTTAAAACGTAAATTTCCTTAGTTGCCTGTATTTTTGCAAAATAGTTTTTATTGTACCTACTAGATATTTAAATTTTGCGCGTAATTTATTTTGTAGTTGTCTATCCTATATGTATTTTTGTTGAGCTACAACGCTAAATACGTCTAGACTTCAAGCTACGTAAGCAAACAATATTAGTGTCTCTATTTAACCTGTAAGATTAACAAAATTGTTCGATACGACCTTCACGAATTGTATTCAAATTCATTGACCATATACCTACATCTTATAATATTCGCATAGGTAACTGCAATTATTTAATTATAGAGTCATAACTTAACAAGTATATAGTAATAGTATTTAAAATAACTAAACCAATTATTATAAGAATTGCCTAAAAATTATTGGAATGTATGGAACGTGATTGCATTGCCCGTAGGACGGTGTTTTTTAAAGTAATTAAATCTGTACAGATAGAATAATTCAGTGTACTCGAATTTGTTTATTTATTATCTTATCACCTACAGAGAAGTATGTACAGTAAATAATATTTAAGACAGGGTGTACAATATATGCATCACTATTTAAAAACTGTAATTGACAAAGAAGTACAGTATACTAATAAAAGAGTCACAATGCAGCATCTACACAAGGGATTAATTAGCCTGCGATTCTTAACACTTAACTCACCTAACGTTTGCATATTCGGCGGTCGCTTCAATCAGTCGTGATCGATTTTATGAATTTGGCATCTGAAAACAATAAACTACAAGCTCACCTGGTGAAATGCAATTTAAAAAATTGTTTTTAGAGCGACCGCCGATGAAAACACTTGTGACTTCGAAATGTGCTAGGCAACCAATCATGGATGTATATTTATTGAAAAGCCATAATACAATTAAATTTAAGTTACCTTTCATTAAATAAACATAAAATTTATAGAGAATTTAAATTTCGAAGGATCGAAATATGTATGCATACTTATTGTGTATTTTGTTTCTGTTACATCGCTTTTATCGTTCTATATTTAAAAGCACATTTCCCAGTCTTACTCGTCATTGCATGCTTAGATACGACAAGGTTCGGTTCTAATGTATTCCATTTACTGGCAATATTTCTGCAGCAATAAATATCGAAACGAAGGAACTATTGCCGTACTTTCAGTACCAAGCTTAACATTCAATAAAACACATATCGCTTTTGTTTCGCAAGAGAAATGGATAAAGTAATATGTTTTTTAAGCCATACATAAAAGCTTCAAATGAAATGGGTCCTATCTGGCTTGCCCGTCAATCTTATTGTCGTTCAATTTGAATTTCCGCTTAGACTGGTTTTTGTTAGGACTTAACGTGCCTCTACGAAAAGGGCGGGTAATCCGCTTTGCGGTAAGAAACGCTTCAAGGCTTGTCCAAAGACATTTCTTTTGATACAAACACGGAAGATTATAATAAGAAAATATAACCAAACCTTTTTCTTTCTAAACTTTATAAGAAAACAGTAAAGCCTTGAAGTTTTTTTAAAGTAGAATATTACTGGACACAATAATTACACAATTATGAATTCGCAATGCAATGAAAGCATTCAAAGATTATTTACTCGACATCATTTATTAGTACAGGATATTTTCATAGGCAACCGTACCGTGAGATGATTAAATGGTGATGAAATTGTAAAATGGTTAAATACAGAACAGTATAAACGTACAGAACATTAATATTATCATGCCATGTTCATTCCCAAGGTTCAAAATCAGCGGAATTTACTAAATTCCGTCTGTAAAAACCAACCTAAGAGTTCAGTCACCTCTCATTCGAATTCTTCGCGAATATAACAGAATAAAAACTACTTATCCAGAGCTTGATAAATTTGGTGGGGAGCTGATTAATTTAAAAAAAAACATTTGTAAAGTGCCTATCTGATACCTAATCCGCATTGTTAAGCAAAAAATTACTAGGAAAAACTAAAATTGGAAGTGTAATATTTATAATATTTATTTAATTTTGTAAAATATATGTTCACCCTAATTGTCATGTATTTCTGATGGTCGTGTGAGTGGTGCCACACAACTTCCTCCACTCTTCTCTTCCTGTCTTCGGCAAGCCTCTGCGCCTGGGTAATGGTTAAGACTTGTAAGGCCTTTATTGATCGGTCCAGGGCGTAGGGGATCGACCTCGAGGTCTGGTGCCCTCCACTCTGCCAGTCACGATGAGTTTTTCTAGACTTTCTGGATCTCGCGTGTTACAAATTATTTTAATTACAATGCCAAAATACTCAGGATGCGTTTGTAACAAAGTGTAAAAAGACGATTTTTATCTGTAACCGTCTTAGTATGGACACGTTTGATTTCTTAGCTGTCCAGGGAATCCTTAGCATCCGCCTCCGCTTGTAACATATACTTACGAAATGCATGTACCTACTTGATATTGTGTACTTTAATAATAAATGAATACTTTGGAGTTAGAAGATATTAATCTTATTTCAATATTTATTTTTGAGACCGAACATTAAACCAAAAATTAAGGCGTTAAGCGCATAAACGCAGCTTTTATAGCCCTGTAAAACGTCTCGTTCGTATCAGAGGACGAAAAAACCTAACATTTGTCACTGCATCGGAATCTGTTGAATTAGACGCTTCGAGGGTTCGAGAAGATGGGAATTTGAGTTCATTTTTTATTTCGTTGTCAAATTACCTACAGCGTACACGCGTCGCCTGTTTTATGGCTTCCTCTTTGTATTGGATTAAGTTAACAGTATATTACATTTATTATCGATGATTAAGTATCTCTATATCATGGCTTGTGTTAGTGCACGTTAGTCTTAAGAGTTCAACATACCACTGTATGTAAAAAAATAGAAATCAAGAACAGAGTATCTTCCTCTTAATAGAGAATGTAAGTAGTGTTATTGGATAATCTTTATTAGTAGATTATGTTAGACTTACATTACTTATTAGTCTTTAGATAGGCTAGATCGAAATGTTCCATGATGTGTCAATGAAGATTGAAAAATATGTAATGGCGGTAGTTATAACTGATGATTCTTAGGTTTATCCAAGAAACAGGAAATAGAAAAATCCAATATAGATTTTTTGGTCATTTTTTAAATAATATATTTTCACACCAATTGGTTTTTAACATAGTAAAAATTATATACATAATTGATTATAAAAATATATGATAATGATAGTAAAAAGGGATTTAACAACATTTAAATAACTTCTTATATATATTTCTTCTTGACTAGCTTCTTATCAGTATCTTTTAGTGATAAATACTCGAAAATAAGGTCATAACACCATGAAGCAACACAGATTGTATTATGTACAAACATTTCTATTTTAAGTTTTATAATAAAGCACTGTGTTTAACCCTGGAAAGATAGTCTGCGTAAAATTTACGCATGCGTTTTCGAATAATTGCTCTCTCTTTCGAATTAGCGCGATCCATAGCTGTGCGTTTAGGACATCTCCTTCGTCGTTGGGAGCTGCCGCGTGGCGTAAGTGTCAATGAGGTAAGTGCCACCGATTTTGAAATATAACGACCGCGTGAGTCAAAATTACGCATGATTATCTTTATCGTGACTTTTATGATTTTGGCTTATATGACAGTTTTATTGTGTTTCGTAACTTTTTATACTTTATATCATAACTAATATTATAATTTCATTTTTAAAGATATTGAGCTAAATATATATCACAATGGGGAGTACCAATTTAAACGAACACGAAATCCTGGCCGCTCTTATACAAAGTGATGACGAGCTTCCGTGTGAGGACACCGACAGTGAAGAAGCGGACCACCAAAGTGAAGATGAAGTGCAGAGTGACACAGAAGAAGGGTTTGTAGACGAGATACAAGAAGAACAGCCGACGCCAAGCGGAAGTAATATCTTAGAAGAGCAAAGCAATACTGAGCAACCAGTCTCCACATCGGCCTTTCGTAGGATCGTAGCCTTGCAACAGAGGACTGTCAGAGGTAGGAATAAATATTGTTGGTCGACGTCAAAGCCAACGAGGCGTGGTAGAGTCTCGGCGGTAAATGTTGTCCAAAGAGGTCCAAGCCGCGTGTGCCGTAATATATATGACCCCGTCATATGCTTCAATATGTTTTTTACTGATGCGATAATTATGGAAATCGTACGATGGACTAACGCCGAGATATCATTGAAAAGACGGGCTTCTATGACAGGTGCTACATTTCGTGATATAGATGAGGATGAAATTCGCGCTTTGTTTGGTATTCTGGTAATGACAGCAGTGAGAAAAGATAATCATATGTCTACAGACGAACTCTTTGATCGATATTCGTCAATGTTGTACGTCTCTGTGAATGATAAACATTGCCTGCATTAATGCATATGTAATTTACAGCCATAATGTTAATCGGAAAGGAGAAAAGCCTCTAAGTCGCAAAAGATTTATGAAAAATCTTAGCTTGGGACTGTCTTCTTTGTTTATGCGTAGACGTTTAGAAGTACCTACTTTGAAGAGATATTTGCGAGACAAAATCACTGATATGTTGCCAATTGAAGTGCCTGATACATCCGAAGACCATAGCAATGAGCCAGTAGCAAAAAAAAGGATTTATTGTTCTTTTTGCCCTTCTAAAAAAAGGAGAAAGGCAAATGCGTCCTGCAAAAAATGTTAAAAAGTTATATGTCGTGAGCATAATGTTGATATGTGCCAAAGCTGTTTGTAACTTACTTTTATGTAAATTTATGTTCCTAAATTATAAGAAAAGCTTACTGTTGATTTTCTACTTAAAATGAGACTGATTATTAGAATAAAAAATAAGTTTTCATTAGAAAGAGTAAGTGTTATACTATTTTATTGATTTATAGAAGACGTTTAAACTTTTGTTTTTTTAAATACAAATAAAGGAGTTTAAAAAATTATCTGCAGTAATAATTATTCTAATATATGTGTATATATAATAACATACAATTCATTAAAATAAACTATTAAACCTAGACCTACAACTAATTCAAATTCATGCGTAAATTTTACGCATGATTATCTTTTCCGTATTACAAAATATGATTATCTTTCTAGGGTTAAATGTCAAGATTATTTATTTCCGGTAGTGATAGCATGCTTCCTTGCAATTAAAAGGCCTATTTGTCAATCTGAAAGTAAAAACAATGTAACTAAAGTCTTTTAAATTTCGAATTTCATAATTCGCCCAGAAATTGTTTTACGTCTTAATTTTAAAGCGCTAATGGAAACCAAACATCGATTCCCCGAGTCGTGACTTTTACTTCATCAGATGAATTACCCTTCATTTTCTAATATGCATAAAGTAATAAGTAGTACTAGGTTCCAACGTGTTAGCGCCCGCCTCGAGTGGATTAAGTGTACTTTTAATTTTAATAGCGAAACCTTGCGAGTATTAACTTGTTTTTAATTAAATCGTGCTTACTTGCTTTTGTGTTGTGTTGGTGGATAAACCATTGATTTTAAACTAACTTTTGTTATTAAACTGTTGTAGGCGACTTTAGTGATAATATTTCAGTTTACAGAAAATGTTCAGGGTCAAGCACAGGACTGCATATTATTTTTTTTTTATTGGACAATTCACACCAATTGACCTAGTCCCATGCTAAGCTGGTGAAGCTTATGTTATGGGTACTAGGCAACGGATATACATACATATTATAGATAGATAGACATATAAATACATGTTTAAACACCCAAGACCTAAGCACAACACCAAATGCTCATCACATCAATTTTTGTCTCAGCCGGGGATCGAACCCGGGACCCATGGATTCACAGTCAGGGGTACCAACCACTAGACCAATGAGCCGTCGATTGCCGACGAACTTTCGAGATCCCTTATTTTAGTTCTGTCATTCATGTGCACGTTTTCTTTTTCAAGTGTTATTTTTTTTAAGTATTGTCCTGTTCACTGTTTTAATTGCTTTGTTTTGTTCCATTCGTTTTGTATGTCTTATGTATTTTTTAGACTTCTTGCGCTTGCCTTATCTAATTTTTTTCCTTACATTGGTTGCCTGGAAGAGATTGCTCGAAAGTGATAAGCCAGTTGCCCTCCTTTTCATTTAATTATGTCAACTGTATTATATTTCTGTATACAATGAAGTGTAAAATAAATTCTAAATAAATAAATACTTCGAAACTCCAAAATTTCAAGAAAATTCTCTTTAATTCTATATACAATTTCAAAGCCTTTATTTCAACTAATACAAGAGAAAGTTTACAAAAATGAATATAAAAAAGTTCTCTTTTGCTCTTTCTCTGAGCAGGTGTCCTGTCCATCTCCATTTAAGCTTTTTGGCTCTAGTCATTGCGTCTTCCCAGTTGGTGAATTATATATAATGTAACCTATAACTATCAAGATGTAAAAATATTTAGTTTGTCGATTTTGGTTAAGAGATATAGTATACTGATTTCCTGATATTAATGTACCTCTAAGGGGGTGACTTAACAAAATAGGTTAATAGAAAATTAAAAGCATTCAAAAGTATTGCATACGATATTTTTTTTTATAACAGGCGCCAGACGGGCGTCACCCGATGTTAAGATACCTCCGCCCATGGACGAGTGTCCAGAGTGGTAATGTGAGTACATTACTTCAAAGCTCGCAAGTACATTGCTGAAATCGGTTCTTAGTTTCTTGAAGGACCCTCAGTCGAACTGATTCGAAAATACTTCAGTGGGCAGCTGGTTCCACGTAGTGGTGGTGCGCGGCAAAAACCACCTTTAATAACGGTTAACGGTAGTTGATACGGATGATATTGCTATTTGTATTCTGCCTTCCAAACAACTCATCTGAACACTCTCCATGGAACCCTCATTACGCAATAATAACCAGCCAATACTTACAAACACCATTATGGCAGCACCCAAACGCCAGCCAGATGAGACGGCCTCGCGTAACGTTATTTCTCGGTTAAAAATAAATTCTTCGAATAATTTAACGGAAATTTACAATCCAATTTCAAACAGTTATATTTCAACTCGCGAACAATATGAAAAAAACAAAAACCGTGTAAGAAAGTAAATCAGGGCAGTTAGCAGCACCTGATCGCGACCTCCTGACTTATAACGCTTTGCACTTTTTCACACCGCCATAAACCGGCGAACTTTGCCGTGAACTGAAGCGTGATTAATACCTACTTGGGTTTAATATTAACACGTTCGTTATTTAGTAAAGAACGATACGAACTTATGAATTCGTTACTTCAATTATTTCGCTTATATTTTATAAAGTTTATGTATTCTCATACAATAGGTAATTCGGATATTAAATCTAAATATATATAAATGGAGCGTGACGTTGTTTGTCCGCTATGGACTCCTGAACTACTCAACCGATTCCAATTAAATGCACACCGTGTGCAGTTTGATCTAACTAACAAGAATGTCTATGGATGTCACTGAACACCTCTCAAACGGCTGGACAGATTTTAATGATTTTTTGTATGCGTTCGGGTGGAGCCCTGCCCTGCGATTCTGTAACTCACTTTTCGAACTCACACAGCGGTTTTCGCATCGGCGGTCGCTCTCAAATCAGTCTGAAAAGGTGGGAGCTTGTAGTTTATTGTTTATTAGAATGCCAAATCATAAAATGACTGCTTCACGACTGATTTGAGAGCGACCGCCGATGCGAAAACCGCTGTGTGAGTTCGAAAAGTGAGTTACAGAATCGCAGGGCTGGATGGTTTCGATTCACAAATCAACCCGGCAGATGGCGCTGCAGTCGGTACTTTCATACTTTGTTTGATATCCTAATTCCCTTGAAATATCATGCAGGACAACGTCTGTCGGATCCGCTAGTAATGTTATAAATCAATTTTGTTACCGGCTTTGTTCTACTGAAACACAAATTAAGTTTACAATATTCTTACCTACATCATAATATTAATAATAAAAAAAGGATGAATAGAAAATTAAAACTCTAAAAGTTTGGTCCCTATGGCATCTTTAATGCTGGCAGCATTTCCTCGCGGTATAGCGATACTTATTCGTTACGCGAGGAAAGCATCAGCTCTGGGGTCACTGGTACCTACTACTAGGCGCCAACTTAAATCTTTAATTAGCGCCTGTACACTTGAACGGCCAAGAGTCTCTACTGCAAAGAACAAAATCAAAATTGGAGGACCCGCTTATTAATTTTCTACTGAAATATATTTGCAATTAAAAAATAAATAATATAAAAACGCAAATAATAAACGGCACAAATATAAGGGTCTTTCCTCCAACTCCGAATTTGTTCCATTTGGAGTAGAGACTCTTAAGCCGTGGGGTTCAAGTGCACAGGCGCTTATTAAAGATCTAAGTTGGCGCCTAGTAGATAGTACCGGTGACCCCAGAGCTGGCACTTTCCTGGCTCAACGAATAAGTATAGCAAAACAGCGAGGAAATGCTGCCAGCGTTAAAAATACACTGCCACAGGGACCAAACTTTTTAAAAAAAAAATTATTTTCTTTTTAATATATTTTTATTATTACTTTGTAGGTTAAGAAAATTGTAAATACTGTATACTTGATTGTAAATAAAATTAAAATGAAAGTTACAGTTAAAAAATAAGAAATATTTGCAATACCTATTTTATTATATTTTATAGAAGAATACAATTCAAATGTATATGTGTAGAGTGTTTTTCTAATTGTGTACGATTAGAGAAAAAACGTTTATATTCGATATAAAAAAGTAATATTCATAATTTGAAATTGAGTCAATCTGCTAAACCGTCCTATCGACAGCGCCAAATCCCAAAACACACATAATATCATCCAAATCTTCAGAGAATTACCATAAACACGTTCACGTCTTGGAACCCACCTTACAAAGATTAACCGACGACTAATTGCGCGTCGACACGTGTACAGCCTTAATCTGCGTTTCGAGCTTTGAAGCATTACTAAGAGTTCCTAGTACAATTTGATACATTAATCATGAGGTTTTGACATGGAATTTCGTTTTATGCATCGCTGTTAACGGAATACGAGGTAGTAACTCTCTTGTAATCAATGGGTGCAATTATTATATGTCACAAGCAGGGGTGTCAGATTCTTGATAGTTTTTGAAGTTATACTTCTTTAGGCGCGTTATGAAAAATTTATGAGAGTGAAATTTTACGATGCGCGCGCACCGTGACACAAAATTAACAGAATGAAGTTGCCCACGCAAGATGCTACGGCATTGGACATAATTTAAAAACAACATTCGAATAATAATAGAATTTATGTTACACTTAATGTAAGAGAATAATAATAAATATTTATTTATTTAATTTTTCAAATGTAAACTAAACTTTATTGACTATAATGACTCCTTTTCCAGTCTTTGATTTTTTAATTGTAATTAATTATTTGCATGCACTCAAAAAC